AATCATGTGATTGTCAGATTCAAAATGACCGATACTTATCCATTTCTGCTCACTAATGCCTAGGATACCTGTTTTTATATGTTCCTTTTTTTTAATTTTTTTTAACAACTTCCAGTTTCCCTAGATTTCATACATTGTACATTCAAAGTTCTGATTATTAATGGATGTTTGCAGCTGTTTCCCTCATTTCGAGTTGTGCCCCATTGACAAATGAAGGTTCTGAAAGCTTTATTCTATTCGCTTCATTATGGTCAATTCTACTTTAAAGAGACAACTCTTTCCAGTCATATTTTGAGTGCCCTCCTACCTTACAACACTATAGTTGACAATATCCCACTGTTACTCATAGGTTTTTCAGTAGCTAAACATTCAGAAGAACATATTTCAAATAATGTAGAAAAAGATGGTTATAAGAGTTAAAATATTTAACTGAGGTATAAATTGGGCAATAGGGTCTCTTTTTTTTTTTTAACAGATCTAGATTTATTTTCAGTGTTTATTTTTGGACTCTCTTAGACTTAAGCAAATGCATAAAACAATATAAAATTCTATATGATTTAGAATGCTGATTGTACCATTTTGAGCAAACACAATTTATCTCAGTCAAAAAAAGTAGACTTTGTGTGTTTTATTTTTTATTGTGAATTGGATGAAGCGTACAAAGAAGATAATCAGTTTTACATTCAGCAATTGATACATGTCTTTTGTCATCTCAGTGACTGTAATCCCCTTAATGTAACATCAGTATTCCACTTCCTCTCTCTGTTTCCTGTTTGCATTCAGAAGGATTAGGAAAGTGGTTTTGTTTTGTTTTACAAAGCTGTTGATTAGAGAATTGACTTTTCTTTCTACATAGTACTTTTTTGTATTTTGTATTTTCTACATAATACTATTTTGTAACAGTAAAAGAGAGCATATATATATATATATATATATACACACTTGCATATATTCAAGGGGGTTTCAAAAAGTTGTGGAAAATGGCATCAAAGGATAATGGAATTTTTTTATGAGCCTTTAAAAAAAATGTGTACTGTAAATTAAGTGAAGGTTTACAGAGCAGATGGTCAGTTTTGCATTCAACAAATCATACACTTTGTTTCATCTCATTGATTACAATCCCCTCCATGTAGCAACAGTTATCCTGCTTCCACACAGTTGTTCTTATTTCTATTCCAACACTTCTGAACTTTATTATTAGATAATGTTGACCTTTTTATCTTAAACTGTTGACTATTCGATGGTGAGCATACCTCACTTTGTTGTTCCCTTGTGTATCTATTTACAGGTTGGCTGAAAATTGATTGAAAACTGTATATTAAATTCTAGACCTGAAGAGTTCTTGAGAGCCATGATCTCAGGTTCCTCCAATCTCTTTCTGACCAGTAAGCCTGGTCTGGTTTGTGTTTTGTTTTTGGTTTTTTTTCATTTTAAGTTTTGTTTCATGTTTTACACTCCATCAGGACCTTCTAATGTGATCCCGTTCTGAACAATTGGTAGTGGTAGCCAGGTACCATCTAGTTCTTTGGTTCTCGAGTCAGGGGTAACTTTTTAAAGTCCTGTCCTGTGTGTTTATGTGTAAATGTAAAATTAGTGGTGTGATGCTATCAGATAAGCACTTGAGCTCAAGTTTAAACCAACCCATCAGCGGAAACCCTATACACGGTTACTATGAGTTGGAGCAAATTAGACATATTAGGAAAATTAGAGATTTTAATTTTAATTTTCTTCATCATCCACATATTTCTCTATAACCCATAGTCAATATGAACAGATTGTATGTGTGCATGCATGTGTACACATGTGTGTGTTTTCATTTAACTAGTGTTGGAAAACCAGGAGTCATATGTATTTTGCCTATAGTAACAATACTGGCTTCTGTATATCAGTAATCAACTTGTAAGACACACATAAGAAAACATCCTTCAGTATTACTGTATAAACAGCATGGGGGAGACATCTAACACTCTCTGCCTTCACAAGTTAAGGAAAATCAAACTCAACATCAGCCCAAGGCCAATGCCGATGAGGCAGAAATCTGACACGCCTCCAATCATTACCAATTCTGACACCAACTGTCCATCCTACAGCACTCTCTACTTCTCTGCTGCTTTTGATAATCTATTCCCTTGGCCACATAAAACTCGCAGACAATACTTACAGTAATAAAGTTTATAAGTGAAGTTAACAGGAAATAATTCAGAATCAGAAATGCACAGGATATAGTTCTTCCACTCAAGAGTGTCTCTTCTCAACTGTGCTTGCAAACATGCCTCTGTGTTCCTTGGTTTCTCAGCCACATGGCCCCTAGGCCTCTGCCCTGTTTAAGCAATGCTACAAAGCCTCTTTAGTGCTGCTGATAAAATGCCCAAAAGGCTCTCCACCATAAGCCTCAATACAAAGGTACTCAGTGCTGTGGATCAGCAAACCTAACTCCTCCAATTGTGCGCCTGGAGGCAGTCCACTCAGCAAGTGAGTCTCCCACCCAGAGGCACTTACATTACTCACTTCAAATCTATCACTCTGTTTTGTGCTCTGGTCCATGGTTCTTTTTCTAACACTGCTACTCTACTGCTCCTCTAGCACTGAGGAGGTTCAATGTCTCAGGGGCCAAAGGATGCCCTCTTGTCCAGGCTCTTCTTTCTTGCTGGCAGTGAGTCTCCCTTGTCCTGCTTCTGAGATGGCTTGTTTTGTACCAAGTGGGATGTCAAAATTGACCAATCCCCATGTTAGAGTTCCATATACCCCATCTTCATGGTCCCATCCAGCTCTTTGGTGGGAGTTACAAAGAATATAAGAGTAATATCAAGTAATTTACTGAACCACATTATATTCTTTTTTATATTAGAAACCAGGCTTCATCCATTTCTGCATAGCCATTACTTAGCATAATGTTAGATCCATACCAGTCATTTTACTAAATGAATAAATAGGGATCACTGACAGAATGATTATAGAAATATCTTACCATGTTACAAAGGTACTCACTCAATCCCATCTTCTTACTACCTTTCCAGGTGGCATCTTGATTTTGTAATTGGGATTGGAAGATGCATTTTTTAAATTATTAAATAATGTTGAAGTTACAGTGTGGTTTATAACAGTCAGAAACAGATACTGGAATGATAGGATATATTTTTTTAAAAGACCAGAAAAAAGGATAAATTTCCATTGTGAGCATGACTCTAAGGTCAATGGGTTTATCTTTGTCCTTATATTTCTTTCTTTTTTTGGGGGGGAGGGGCATAATTGTTTAGTATTAAAGGAGCCCTTATGACACTGTAGGTGAAGGTTAACAGTTCAAACTCACCAGCCACCCCTCAAAAGAAAGAGGAGAAAAATGCACAGCCTCAGAAACCCTATACAGGGTTGTTATGACTCAGGATCAACTCGACAGCAGTGTTTTTGTATTTGCTTTGGTTTAGTGTTGTCTCATACTTTTTTTTTTTTTTTTTGTCTGCATGTGCAAACAAGGGTAGTTTTCAATGGTACAGCTGCTGTAAAAACAGTTTGTCAGATAAAAAAAAAGCTGAACTTAGAACTATCATGTTGTTATTGTTGTTAAGTGCTGTCAAGTTGGTCCCAACTCAGCAACTCATATAGTGTTTCAAAGGATCCACTGATCTTGTGGTTCAAACCAAACTTATGGTCCAGTGCTTTATGCTACAGCACCACACCAGAACTCCATATGACCCACTAATCCTAATTCTAGGTATATACCCAGAAATGAAGACAGAAAGACAAACAGAAACCTGTACAACAAGGTCCACTGCAGGATATTTCACTGTAGCCAAAAAGTGGAAGTAACCTAAATGTTCATAAATATATGAATGGATTTAAAAATTGTGATCTATGCATACAACAGAATGTACTCAGCCTGAAAGAAAAATGAAGATGTGATGCAAGTCACAACATGTATGAACCTTGAAAACATTATGTTGAGTGAAATAAATAAGTCACAAATGGACAAATACTGTACTATTTCAATTATATAAAATAAGCAAATATATACATATAAAGAATATATATTAATAGTGATAAGGGAAGAGGGGTATTTGTAGGAGACATTGAGTTGATGCTGTTGTTGTTGCAATCCATGTCACTGAATATGTACATAGAAATTGTTGAGTTGGTGAATGTTTTGCTGTGTGTATTTTTACCACCAACCACCACTACCACAATAACATCAAAAAGGTGGTTTTCCAAAGTGACTGAAAGGAGAAACCTCTGGAGAGAGAAGGAAGAGCCATCCAGATTCTGAGCTCTAGGGCTCTGTTGTGACTGTTTCTCAGAGGGGTTCCCGGGTGGTACCGAGGGTCAGTGCACTATGCTGCTAGCCTAAAGGTTGGAGATTCAAGTTCACACAGAAGCACTTGAGAAGAAAGGCCTGGGTATGTATTTCTGGAAAATCAGTCATATAAATGTATATATGTTGATGTTGTTAAGTGCCATCAAGTCAGTTCCGACTCATAGCAACACTGTATAGGGTTTCCAAGGAGTGGCTGGTAGGTTTAAATTGCTAAACTTGCAGTTAGTAGTCCAGTGATTATCCTAAAGTGACACATACACACACACACGTATATATATCTCACATATGTGATCTTAGTTAATATTTATTTAATATAATCTTTAGGAAAATCATTCTTTCCCCTGTTAATACAATGTTACCATGGTAGTTTCCTTTGTGATGATTCACTTTAAACACAGATAAAAGCAACATAGTGTGTCAAAATGAGGGGCAGATTATCAAGTTGTATAATTTTCAGTTAATAAAAAAAAAAAAATATTTTCCCCTTAATTGATGATTCATTTAACATTTCTGAAACCTGTTGGTTTGGGTATCAACTATTGCCAACTGTCATGGTACATATGGTAGCAATTCTAATAGTGAGTCAGTATTCAAAGTGAAATATAACAACTCTTATCAAAAAAGCAAGTCTTGGAATCAAATTGTGAATTAACAGTAAACATCCTGTGATTTTTAACATGTCTCTTTCTGCTCAAAGCTTGGTTCCCAGCAGTATTTTGCAAATCCTTCGACGAATCTCTTTAGTTTTGATTGAATAGATGACAGGGTTGAGCATTGGAGGCACAAAGAGATAGATCAGGGACATAAGTGTGTGCACATACTTTGGGGCATGTTTCCCATAGCGGGCAGCCATGGATACACCAACCATGGGCACGTAAAACATGAGCACAGCACAAATGTGTGACACACACGTATTGAGTGTCTTCAATCGCTCTTCCCGGGAGGCAATGGCCAGAACAGAGCGCAGTATGAGCACATAGGAGAGGAGAATGAGTGCAGAGTCCAGGCCAAAGGTAGAGATGACAATGAATAAGCCAAAGATGTTGTTGATGGTGATGTCACCACAGGGCAGGCGGATCAAGTCTGGGTGTAGACAGTACGCATGGGAGAGCACATTGGCCTTGCAGAAGGTCAGTCTTTTCAGAAGAAAAGGCAGTGGGAAAACCATGCAGAAACTGCGGATGATAACAGATATGGCCATGCACACCACTCGGGCATCAGTGAGCACTGTGGCATACCGCAGTGGGTTGCAGATAGCCACGTATCGATCAAAGCTCATGGCCAGTAGGATCCCAGACTCCGCAAAGGAGAAGAGGTGGATAAAGAACATTTGAGCCATGCAAGAATCAAAGTTGATCTTCCTTAAGTGGAAGCAAAATGTGGTCAGCACAGTGGGCAATGTGGAAAAGGACACACCTAGGTCATTGACTGATAGCAAAGAAAGGAAGTAATACATAGGCTGATGCAAGCTCTGCTCCTCTTTGATAATGAAGAGGATCAGGGCATTGCCCACAATGGAGACAGCATAGAGAGCACCAAGCAACAGAAACATCCAGTGTTGGGAGGACTCCAGCCCTGGGAGCCCTGTCAGTGTGAACGAAGGCAAATCTGAGCTGTTGTGGAAATTATCTTCCATGACGGGATTCCTGCATAGATTCTAGAACCACTATCCTGTAAAGAAGACAGAGAAATTTTTATTCATGGCCTCTGCCTAGTATCTTAATACAGTGGTATATCATGGAATCCTGGAGTGGTACTGTAGGTTAAGCACTGGACCCATCAGGTCAGTTTGAACTGCAAAGTCAGCCCTTGGAATTGCTTCTCATCTGTATTCTCTATCTCTTTTATCTTTATATTAAATATTGAGACTCAAATCCAAACATCAACTAGACTCCTTTTTTCTCTTTACTTATTATGTTAAACCATGTTAATAAGTAATACATTTCTGTGATATAATAACATTCTCAGAGTAAGCCTCCTATCTCTCCAATCCATTCCTGAATCTGGAGCAAAAATACTAATTTAAAAGGCAAATATGAAAATGGCACTATTCTGCTTAGTAACCATTATATTTCCTCACTACCAAAAATCCGAGTCCTAACTACCCCAGAATTAAAGTCCCAACACAGTACTAAGACTCTTGTGGTTCAATAGTGAATAACTGCTATCAGGACTGACTGAATGTGTTGCAAAGTAAAGGTAGATGTTTTGTAATAAAGGGAGGGGAGTGGTTGATCTTGCAGTCCAGGAGCAGAGGACCCTTGGATCATCAAGGGAGAAGAACGGAATGTGAGACCCTATCCAAGGAGACAGTGACACCAGAGATGGAGGCAGAGACAATGACCTGGAAAGATTGAGCGGCTGGGGACTCTAGTCTCAGGAAGGGAGAGGGGCTGTGTGCTGACGGCCAGGGTGTACC